AACAATTTAACGTTAAAAAGTAATTTATACGATAAAACTTAAACTTTATTACCCCATGAGATAATTGACAGTTCCATTCGGAGAAAATGGTCAATTCCAGGTTATCATGAGTGAGATGACTCTTCAGAATCATCGCTAACGAAATACGTGTTAAGCAAACCAGATGATTCCATAATGATAGATAGCATCCAAATAGTCGCCCTTCTCATCGATCAAACAGTTCCAACCGCGGATCGCGCCATCTTTGCCGCAGAATTAAATCTATCGGCACCAAAACCAAATGAAAATATTGGACCTCGCATTTGGAAACAATAATATAACTGTACTCGTGATGACACCAAAAGGGAAAATTAATTAACAATTATGTTATATGAAGTGGTTGATCTAACGAGTACAAATACTACGCGACCGTGTCTGCTGATATGTGACAACGTCAATAACGTAATTTCGACATTGACAGTGAGTGTTCCTAAACGAAAATATTAGTATAGTAAATATTTCACACTTAGTAAGCATTTACACTTTCCAACCTCAAAACTAAAGTCAGGCGCAGGTAAGAACTCATTGTACCTCTACCGTATTGAACTGACCCATTTAATCTGTCTGATTATTCCTACGATTTTATAAATCTAATTTTTAACTCACTTAATATTTTTACATACTCTGATATTTTGTTCATATGCATTTATTGACGTGGATAACGTCTTTAAAAAATCAGTTCTTTTACGGGTGACCGGTTCAGAAATCCGTACCGCGAGGCCTCGAGGCCGATCGCAGGCATACCCCCTCCTCGTTATAACCTTAGCTCCCCGCACACTACAAACTTCTTTATCGGCTGATATTTCGATCGGTTATTGTGAGCGCGTTACACTACGCCAACCAAACAGTTGGGTTTGTGGTGAGTGCGCATTCGACAACAGCCGGGCTGACTGCACCAATACCTGAGCGAACTAAATTGACTAAGTCGGCCGACTAAACAATCGGTAGGTAAGCGCTTGCGACGAGCCCATACTGATATCGCAGTCGGTCGATAGTTGGCCCTGGCTGGCCGATATTTTGTTTTGAACACACAGCCCATCAAACTTCGTTTCTATCGGCCGATACAAAATCGTTGTAGTATGCGGACTTGCATACATCTTCATACGGTAAGCCCGACCAAACCATATCGGCCGATAAAGTTTGTAGTGCGGGGAGCCTAACAGCAAAACAAAAATGTGGCGCAAGTAAGTGAAGTAAGCTACAACAATTGGTAACAAACAAAAACTTATATCACCAATAAGACGTTATCACGTAAAATATCTCCGATCAAAACCTACTTTGCTAAACAACCATTTTTTTAAATTTGATATCATAGGTACTCAATTCAATATGGTACTATAAAGGAACAAATATTAATACATAAAGTGATTGGTGAGCACGTGCGTAACTGAGACTATAAAAGCTACTCTAAACATACATATTCATATTAATATTATGCGCATTTGTATGTATTTGTTACTGATTATTGTACTTCGTGGTTTCTTAGCCCAAGTACCGATGAAAGAATATTTCCATCGATGACCAAATTCACCTACCATTGACGGGTATGGAGATACCGCTTGTCATATCGACTAAGTCGTAACAAGCTCCGGCCAATGGGTCGGACTTTTCTTCAGCTGAAAATAACACGTATGGAATATAAAAATTCATTATAAAATCCTACCATTGTTCCAGTATTGTAGGATTGAACGGCTAACATTCGAGAGCCTTCTACTGTCGATAATACCTAAGGGCATTAAATATACAGACGACAGACGCCCTTTTTAAACCAGGTCATCATTTAGAAGTTAGGACGTCGTAAGTGCTGGAGTTGTTCGAGAATTTAACTGACTTATTTTGTGTAATCTTAATATTTTGGGATTTTACTGTCATCTCACGTTTTATATCCATTAAATTATTATCACTTTAACTGCCAAAAAGTCCATATTATTATTTGTATCAACATACCTACAAAATCTGGGGCCTAAATCCTATATTGATCTACAACATCTGGAGGCTCAACCTATGGGCTGACTACAACATCTGGAGGCCAACCTAAGGACCTAAGGCAAAAATCCAGGCTCCTCAACCGGAAAGACCTTCTGCAGAACATACGGAGGTGGTGAGTGAACCTAGACGATAACGACGATTACCAGTGACGTAAGACGCAAAGAAGCTACAAAGTTGCGCAGCCGTGAGCAAAAAGTGAGGAAAAGATGGAGATCAACGTTTATTATCGGCCAATCCGCGTGCCGCGAACAGATTGTTCGGCGCACCCGCTAGTTCACTGAGATTGATGCATGAAGTGATATTTGATGTTGTTGGGTGCTGCGAATGAATCGTAAATTTGTAATGGCACTTTTCGGGTTCTGGTTTCACCAAAACCTGTGAAGAAAGTATGAATACTTCACATGAAGGAGAATTTACTGGTGAAATCTTCAGTGAAGAAGCAACAAACCGCGTGCAACATGTGCCAGACACTGACGATTGCAGTGGAACAAAGACGAGATGGACGTGAAGTGCTCAGAGACTTGAACAACTTGGAAGACGTACCCAGCTACCCGAAGATGACTCAAACGACGAGGGAAGACGACGACGACGACGATGAAGAAGAAGACGACGACGACGACGAGAAAGACGACGACGATGAAGATACCTGACGACGACGATCTTTACAACAATTAAGACGAAAAATGTTTTGTTCTTGTGATCGAGAATTGATAGCCGTGCCAAAATTAAAGACGACGATCAACCGCCAGCTGCGCCAAAGACGTGGTAAGAAGAGCAGCATCAAAGTCTGCGAGGAGAAGAAGAAATTGAGAAGACGATACGAGGGACGACGGGATGAATTCGAACCACGAGGATCCACATCGAATTCAAAGTTTACTCTTATCCTTTCGAGACGTTGAGGATATGGTTAGACCATTTCCACGGGCGAAGACGCGTAAGTGGTATTGAGGCATGAATCGAAGAGTACGTGAAGAAATTGCGGACATGTTAAACCCTCAATGTTTACAAAAGCTGATTTTTGCGAAAAAAATGCGTAAAAGGTCTAGCTAAGAAGTTTGTCCAGAGGAAATTGACCAAACAGTTATGGAATTTAAAAGACGCATTAAAAGATGAATTTATGACCAGTTATGGGAAAAGTAGATATTCACAAGAAGATGATGAGCCGCAAAATACTGAAAGAGTAACCAGTCCAAGAGTATTTGATTGTGATGAAAGAAATGGGGGTATGGTAGACCTTGATAAGCAGTCGGTTATGCAGTATGTGATTGAGGATTGCCAGACGGGCCGCTAAACCTTTACACTGCCAGGGCCGGCTGCGCAAGAAATTTAAGGAGTTCACAAAAGACTCAAAATATATGAGAAAACCATGCAATAAGACGGAAGATACAAACAGCCCTTAAAGACAGAAAACGGTGATGTACGACGATAAATACGGGGACGAAGATAAGACGACAAAGAAACGCATGCTACAACTGTGGAGAAGCTGGACACATTTCCAGCAAAGATGCAAGCAAGAACCAAAGTGCTTTATGTAATGTACCTAGTAATAAAGCGAAAAGATTGTCAAGTTGTGAGGGTCCAAACTGTTCTGGTGCGATGGTGAACAGTTCGTAAAAGACGCAAAGATTGAAGAAATTAAGGTAGCGTTGATTGACACAGGCGTCGGTAGTCGTAACATTATGACGTACAGAATTTACAAGCAGGTAGGTAGTCCGAAACTGAACGGGACTACAAAGATTTTAAAAGGTTTTGGAGGATGGATGACAAAACCAGATGGTCATATCACATTACCAATGACGATAGACGGAAAGACGTACGCTAGTAAATTCTACGTTGCAGACGAAAAGAACTTTGACGTTATATTAGGGCGAGAGTTTCTAAACGACGTGAACATGACGATTAAACGAGGAAAGATAACGTTTGACACGTTAGACGACGATGCATTGCCAATCATGTCGATCGAAGCAGAGGAGCAAGATGAGATATTGCCAATTGAGACAAAAGATGTGAAGAGGAAAGAAGTAGTACGAAAGATGAGTGAAGATTACCAGCTGATAGAGACAAAGAATGACAGAGAGCTGTTAGTTGTTCCCGAAGAAATGGAAACAGAAATAATTAAGAAGGTTCATGAAAGAGGACATTTTGGGGTAACTAAATGTAAAGAGATAATCGAGGAAGAATTTTTTATTAAACGCTTAGAGGAAAAGCTAGAAAGAGTAATAAATTGCTGCGATAAATGCATTTTATTAAACAGGAAGATGAGAAAGAAAGAAGGATGTTTAAACCAATTGTCGAAAGAAGATATTGTTGTCTTAGAAGCACTGCGTGAA